CTCACTTCTTCCATAGTCCATTTCCTAAAGCCCTGCTGAACAGCAGGACCCAAACATGGAAACTAATTCATACTAGGTTGTGATTGGCTATCACGGCTAACTTTAGCATGTCCCACCTGTGTTCCTCAGGTCACCTGTAATGCAAGATGGGTCCACCACAAAAAATAATAATAATAATAATAATAGTAAGAGTTTTGTGGTGAAATTAGTTTGGGAAACTCTGAATACTCCATTCTCCCATCCAGGAAGTCACAATACACAATAAACTATGGCAGGTTTCTAGAAGACCTGCAGAGTCAACACCAACAATGCCCAAACCTTTTGGACGTAATTTTTTTTTCAAGGAACAATTTAACAACATCTGCAAAACAGTCTTTGATAAATCTTAACTGAAGAACCATGTAGCTATGGGCGGTAACATTTGTGTCCCCTAACTAGAATTAAAATTCTTCAAAAGAAGGGATTTTTGTCTATTTCATTCCCTGTTAGATCCTCAGAACTTATAACAGAGTTTGGTATATTGTAGACATTTGGTACATGTTTGTTGAGTGAATGAATGAATGAATTGGGTTTAGTTGGAGAATATCAGCAAGTCTGTGTTCTAATTCAGGCTTTGCCTAATACACTGGATGTCCTTAGGCAAGTCCTTATCCCTCCTGGGGTTTCCATTGCCCTGCAAAGCTAAAGAAAGGATGAGACTCCATTATACATTCTTACTGGGGGCAACAGCGCCCCCAGGAGGTGAAAGTTGGTTCTCGGGGAGGAAAAAAATAAACCTTAATTCTTTTTCTGTAAAGCACAGATACACATAGAGGCCATACACAGATACACATTGTATTAAAATTGTAATATAATTTTAGGGGCTCCTGGGTGGCTCAGTCGTTAAGCGTCTGCCTTCGGCTCAGGTCATGATACCAGGGTCCTGGGATAGAGCCCCACATCGGGCTCCCTGCTCAACAGGAAGCCTGCTTCTCCCTCTCCCACTCCCCTCTGCTTGTGTTCCTGCTTTCACTATCTCTCTGTCAAATAAATAAATAAAATATTTTTTAAAAATTGTAATATAATTTTGTATTAAATCATAATATAAAATTGTATTAAAATTTCATGGGGGGTGACCATCAGGAAAAGAATGTCTAAAAAGACTTCTGGAGCAGGGAGGACAATAATCAAGAAAAGGTTGTGAAACACTAGATTTGATCTAGAAGGTTCCTTCCAAGTCTGACAGCCTATGAACCTTTGATCTAGAAGGTTCCTTCCAAGTCTGACAGCCTATGAACCTTTGACTCTAGGTGAGGGGGGCTTGGTGGAAAATGTCTGAGGGAACAGCAAGAACCCAAAAACCTCAGCATGGGGGAAATAAACCTGGTATTGTGGACTGACATGCTTCCCCCGTCCCAAATTCACATGTTGAAGTCCCAACCCCCAGTACCTCGGAAGTAACCAAATTGGGGGAAAAGGTCTTTACAGAGGTGATTAGGTTAGGCCATCGTGGTGGGGCCCTAACCCAGTAGGACTGGGTCCTTCCGGGAAAAGAAAGGGCCACCAGGGGTGCGCAGGTGTGCAAAGGACCGGTCACGTGAGGACAGAGAGGAGGCAGCCATCTGCAAGCCAAGGAGAGAGGCCCCACCAGAAACCAACTCTGATGGCACCTTGATCTTGGACTTCAGCCTCCAGAAGACATCCCTATCTGTTGCTTAAGCCCCCCAGTCTATGGTGTTTTGTTTCGGCAAAGAGCAGGCAAATGTCCTTGGCACGTTCAGAGAAGACTCACCAGAGGGACCTGAGGTCAGAGAGGACACAGAAGAGTCAGGTGATGGCCAGCCTTGAAGAAAACTACAAAAGTGTTGCTGTGTTTTGTATTGTATTTTTCTTGGGAGTGGGATGGGAAAGTGTGGGAGGGTTTTGAGCAAGGGGGTGACAAGATCCGCCTTCCATTTTTACAGGACCAACCACTCTGGCTACCCGGGTAAGAGAACAGGTTGCTTGTGGGCAAAGGTGAGAGCTATGCGGATGGTGATAAGCGACTGGATTCTGGTACCTTTTGAAAGTACAGCCCGCGGGTTTTGCCGATGGATCGGGATTACGGAGTGAGAGAGAAAGAGAAATGTTATGGGTTCTTCCTTGGCTTTGGCCTGAACAGCTGGAAAAGTATAGCTTCTGTGTTGAGGGGTTCGGTTTGAGACGTGCATTAGACATCCACATGCAGGTGTCCGGGAGGCTGCTAGACATTCAGGGATCAAGTTCAGAGAAGACGTGGTGGTAGAGATAAGCACCAAGGAGAGTCTGCCTCTCCCCCACTCCTCTCCTGTCCTCTGCCCCTACCCTCCCAGCGTGACAGCCCGCATGCTTCCCCCAGTATCACAGGATATTGCGACCCACCGGAGATTCATCCTACTTCCCCATAGAAAGGACTTCAAGTGTCTTGTGTACCACTTTCCAGGGCCTGGCGTACAGAGGGTCCCAGGCAAATGATCGTCTGAATGGATGGGACGATAACCAATGAGGGGTTAATTACTCAAGAGCAAATGTTCCCAAACACATCCCTCCCTTCCTGAGCCAGATAATGTTATCATTTCCAGCAGCCTGCTCAGACCCCACCCTGTCCGGTCTCCATCCCACTTACAGACGGCAGAGGAAGACAGTCTTGAAAAAGAGCCAAAAGGCTTATGAAGTTAAGGCAGTCAACATGATAAAGAACCAGGGGGTGGGGAGAGAGCCCGAGCTAGGGCCCTGTCTCCCCACTCAGGCTGCAAGTGGCATGGGAGTTTATTTCTTTGTTTTAAAGACCTCCTGTAGAGGGTAGAAGATGTTAATTGAGAGAATCCAAGGTAGTGCGTGAGAGCAAACGGTGGGTAAAGACAAAAGGAATACGAGAAATTTTGCGAGGGGAGAGAACTGGCTCCCTTTGCATGTGGCTTTAAAAAACACCAACTAGGGCGCCTGGGGGGCTCAGTCGTTTAAGTGTCTGCCTTCAGCTCAGGTCATGATCTCTAGGTCCTGGGATCGAGTTCCGCATCGGGCTCCCTGCTCAGGTGGAAGCCTGCTTCTCCCTCTCCCTCTGCCTGCTGCTCGCCCTGCTTGTGCTCTCTCCCTGTCAAATAAACAAATAAAGTCTTTTTTAAAAAAAGAATTTAATTAAAAAGTAAAATAACAAACACAAACTAGGGACAATTTTGCAGGAAGATAGGAATCCTCAATATAAGTGCACCTAGGAGCACCTGGCTGGCTCAGTCCGTAGAGCGTGAGACTCTTGATCTCAGGGTCATGAGTTCAAGCCCAAGTCGGGTGTAGAGATTACTTAAAAAATATGTATGTATTGGAGTCCCTGGTGGCTCAGTCGGTTAAGTGTCTGCCTTCGGCTCAGGCCATGATCTCAGGGTCCTGGGATTGAGCTCCACATGGGGCTCCCCACTCAGCGGGGAGCCTGCTTGTCCCTCTCTCTCTGCCCCTCCCCCTGCTCATGCTCTCTCTCTCTCACATGCTCTCTCTCAAATAAATAAATAATAAAATCTTTAAAAAATAAATGTATATATATGTATATGTAAGTGCACCTAATAACAAAGTAACATTCTGGAATAAAAAAAAAAATCAGGAAGCAAAAATGCATAAAACTAAAGGGAGAAACAGATAAACCCAGGTTATAATACGAGATATTAACAACCCTCTTTCAGTGATTGATAAAAATCTGAGTTTAAAACAATAGGAAAAAATGTAGAAAAATCTAACCCACACTTGCCAAAAACACTAACCAACCTGAACTTGACCTAATTGACATTGACAGAACACTATACCCGATAACTGCAAAATTTAATCAGTTTTCAACTGCGCATCCAAGTCTATCAAGAATAGATGGGGCGCCTGGGTGGCTCAGTCGTTGAGCATCTGCCTTCAGCTCAGGTCATGACCCCAGGGTCCTGGGATCGAGCCCCGCATCGGGCTCCCTGCTCAGTGGGGAGCCTGCTTCTCCCTTTCCCACTCACCCTGCTTGTGTTCCCTCTCTCGCTGTATCTCTCTCTGTCAAATAAATAAATAAAAAATCCGCTTGGCCCTAAAATAAGTCTGGGCTCATTTTAGAGTGTTGAAATCTTATATCATTCCAATTTTAGTATACGTGCTGCCGAAGCAAGTACGAGTGTTGAAATCTTTAGAGTGCGTTCTCTGACCACAATGGACTTGAGAACAAATCGGTAACAATACAATATCTAGAAAATCCCAAAAGATAAGATACCATGAAAGAACCCACGGGCCAAAGAAGAACTCACAAGGGAAACTAGGAACTATCAGACTGAATGATTCAAATTTGGGGGAAGCAGCTAAAGTTGTGTTCATAGGGAAATGGATAGCTCTAAAGGACTCTACTGGGGGCGCCTGGGTGGCTCAGTCGGTTAAACGGCTGCCTTCGGCTCAGGTCATGATCCCAGGGTCCTGGGATCGAGCCCCGCATCGGGCTCCCTGCTCAGCGGGGAGCCTGCTTCTCCCTCTCCCACTCCCCCTGCTTGTGTTCCCTCTCTCGCTGTCTCTCTCTCTCTAATAAATAAATAAAATCTTAAAAATAAATAAATAAAGGGGCTCCTGGGTGGCTCAGTCGTTAAGCATCTGCCTTCAGCTTGGGTCATGATCCCAGGGTCCTGGGGTCGAGCCCTGCATCGGGCTCCCTGCTCAGCGGAGAGCCTGCTTCTCCCTTTCCCTCTGCCTGCCTCTCTGCCTACTTGTGCTCTCTATCTCTCTGTCAAATAAATAAATAAAATCTTTAAAAAAAAATAAAAATAAAAATAAAGGACTCTACTGGGGGAGAAAAGCAGCACCTGCAATCAATGATCCAAGAGTCTACCCTTACAAGCTAGAAACATTAAGAATAAAGTAAACCCAAAGTAAATAGAAGCAAAGAAACGGTGAAGAGTAAGACTCAGCGAAGCAGGACACAGACAAATGGTCGAACAAATCAACAAAGTGGAAAAATCGGTTCCTTGGAAGGATCAATGAAATTGAAAAGCACAAGCTAGCACTAGACCTTCTTTTTTATTACTTTTTGTTTTTCGTGCTGACGGTGCATGAACTGGCTCACATGGCTGCTGGGTTCACAGGGGCCACGGGGGGAGGCAGAGAAGGGGGCACGGGAGAACCTCCACAGCTCCTCCATCCAGACAGGCACGCGTTTGTTCCTCAGCCCCGCGCCGGTCCCCCTGCTCACTGCTGGATCCTGCGGACGCTCTGCACCTGGAAGGTCTGGGCGTGAGAGCCCCACTCTCGGAAATGCTTGTAGTCGCCTGAGTGGTGATCGCACTCCAGCACATACTGAAAGCCTCGGTAGCCGGGAAACTGGGAGCAAACCCAGCTGGGGAAGGGAAGAGGCAGACCGTTACCCTAGAGAAGCACCAGCAAGGTGAGCACACGGGGACCAAGGGACCCATGCTGCATACACATTCCAGCCGTCCTGGCCTTCCTTCGATGCCTGGAATGTGCCCTGCGCCCCCCCCCACCACACCACTGGGCCTGTGATCATGCTGTTCCCTCTGCCAAGAACACCATTCCAGCCATTCTTTGCCCAGCCACTGGCCAAGTTGTATTTATCCTTCGGGTCTCAGCTTGTTCTGAGGACTGGTTCTCCAAGTCAGGCCACACTCTTACTGGTCCTCTGTAGCTCTCATATAATTAGACAATTATCAGATTATTTGTAAAATGTCAGCCTCCTCTGACAGCAGGTGAGCTCCTGGGTGTAGGTGTGTGTGTGTGTCTGGTTCATTGGGATCTCTGGTGCAGAGTGCAATGCCCGGCACAGAGGAGGGGCTAATAAATACTGAAAGAAGGAAGGGAGGGAGGAAGGAAGGGAGGGAAGGAAGGAAGGAAGGAAGGAAGGAAGGAAGGAAGGAAGGAAGGAAGGAAAGGAGGGAGGTAGGGAAGGAGGGAGGAAGGAGGAATCTTATTCCTTCCCCTCCTCCCTTAGCCAGAAGCCTTTCCAAGGAAAAGGTTATTGTTCTTTCCATTCATTGACCCTTACATTGTTCAGGATTGGACAAGAATTGGTGTCTCATTTTCTGAGCTTCCATTTCCCCTCTATAAGGAAGAAGTGGACTCAAGAATCACAAGAGGTCCATCCTACTCTGGAACAACGAGATTCTCTGATGGTTAAAAAACAAACAAACAAAAAACAAACAACAAAAAAAACCACCTCCCACCTTCGCCCCCGCCGGGAGCCAAACGGCACCTAGAAGGTGATTGTAATGTCCTCCCTAAGTGAAGACCTCACATCTCGCATTCACCTGCCAGCCCCTGGGGGAAAGGGTGCGAAGGGTCAGTCAGTTCTGGGCTTGAAGCCGGATTCAGTCGCCTAGCTCCTGGTGGACTTGGAGCAGGTTGCTTGAGCCACACCTATTTCTTCATGGCTGGGCATCAGTTCTCTCCTCTTCCGGGGGAGAGACCCCCCCACCCCTCCACCTCTCAGGCAATGTAGGAAAATTGGCAACGAGCATGTGATCAGTCCTAGCCAATCAGACCACCCCCTTCCTGCACAGGACAACTGGGTCAAAATTGAGCACATGACCCAAGTTGGGCCAGTGAGAGCCTTTCCTAGAACCTTTGGTGGAATCGCTAAGAAAGAGGCCCTCTCTTTCCCTGGGGCTGGCTGGAATAAGGATGAAGCTGCCCCATTGCCTTTGCTTGGCAAGAGCTTGCCTGAGAATACAGCCACGGTGAGGCAGACAGAGCAAGAGAGGGAGAAAGACAGACCCCTGCCGTAGCACCTGGATCCAGCTGTGCCTGAAGCTAGTGACAAGGGTCAGTAAATATCCTTTGGGCATAGTATCAGTTTGATATGGGACTCTGCCACTCGTGGTCCCACAAATTCTGCCTGATCCCTCCCTGTGCCTCAGTGTCCTCCTCTGGAATGTGGGCATCAGAGCCCCAAAGTCCCCAGCACAGAGTTTTCACAGGAGTTATCCCTACCCCTCCCAACAGCCTCTCTTTCCCTGCCAGGCAGAGCCTTGGATTCACTTACGCCCCCGAGTGGACGTGGAAGGAGCCCACTTCATTGCCATCCCAGCCCATGGCCTGGAGGGAGGAGTAGTCATCACTCAGCTCGCCTTTCCTGCCCAGAAAGTTCTCTTGCTCGAAGATGGTCAGCCTCGAGTCACGGTGGTTCTGTAGGCAGAGGAAACGGTTGGACCACCAGGCACCCAGATGAGAACCCAGGAGCCTCTGCTGACACCCCTGCTCTTGTCCCCCCAAATCAGCCTTTCTTACAAACCCTTTGGGAGGGTAATAAGGCAACAAAACCTTACCAAAGGTATATACCATTTGTCCTTCCAGAAATGTACACAGGGAAAACAACTATGAAACCAATAAGCTGCAAGGATGTTTATCCCAGCCTTGGAGATAACAATTAAAAAGATAATGAAGGGCGCGCCTGGGTGGCTCAGTCATTAGGCGTCTGTCTTAGGCTCAGGTCATGATCCTGAGCCCCACGTGGGCTCCCTGCTCAGTAGGAAGCTTGCTTCTCCCT